AAAAACACTGTGAAGGTTTAAAAAAAGTCGAACATTCACAGCAAAAACACTGTGAAGGTTTTAAAAAGTCACCTTCACAGCATTTTGCTGTGAAGTTTCAAGTGTAAAATGCTGGTTTCACGGGTCTCACGAAAACAGGCTGGTCTCACATGATCCCAATGAGTTATTATGTAATCTTTTATATTTGTACAATCAATATAACTCAATCTCAATCGTCAACCAATATAAATCATAATAAACGAACTTTCATCATTTCCATAAATTTAATTTGGATAAGGTTACAATAATTAATGGCTTTTCTTGATTTTTAAAATCTAATAAATTAAATTAGAAATAAAGTTAAATTATGTTGTTATTTATTGTAATTTGTTTTTTAGAAATTTGTTATTGAAATAAAGCGTTAACCGTTTACCATGCTGATGTAGCGAGTAGTTTGTAAAACTGTTACTATACGTTCCTATGTTTTTATACACTTACCCTAATACGTCCGAAACCAGTTTTCTATCTACTGTTTTCTAGTACTGGTTCTGTATTTCAAAAACTTGAGTATTTTACATTTCTGGTTCCCATGTCGCATTTTTCATTTTCGTCCAAATTTTTTGAATCAAATGATACTACATCAAAATCATTTTTTAAAACACTTTATTTTACATTTCTACTAAAATGACTGCTCTACTTTTTGACGTGACCAGGTAAGCGTACATCAGACCCTATATTCCATATACATATGTGCTTGAATCAGTTTATAATAACTTACAAAATCCAGTTTTTCTATATGCGTGCGTGTGTTTGCATGCAGTGTATCAAATCTATAACTTAAATTAAGCATATTACGGGCATCATTAGAATAAGAATATAAAAAGATAACTAAAATCAGTGCTGGATCACTGATATATTCTGACCCATCCGTCGAGCAGGGACGAAAGTATATTCATGACTGAAGTCAACAAATCCAGTTGAAAAGATCCGATTTATCAGATCCAGTAATATTTATCAGTAAACGGTGCATAAAAATGAAATTAGAATTGGGTGGGTGAAGGCATTATATGTTAAATCTCATGGATATATTGTTGTCAAAGAGATGGTTGAATGAAAAAGATGTCACATTTATTTTTCCCACATTTCATTGTACCTTTGCATTTATTGGTTTGATATTTTTTTTCTTAAAGTTGTACCGTACAACACATCGTTGCATGCTTATATAACCCTATATATACATGCACCATCATAACCACCACCACCACCATCATCATCATTGGTATTTTTTATGGCTTCCAAATTCCTTCTTCTTGTTGTTATTGGTGTTCTTGTTTCAACCTCCACTGCCAGGCAGCTCACTTCCACTGCTGCTTCTTTTAAAGATGGCAAGACTTTTTACAGTGGCGGCCTTGGAGGCGGAGGTGGTGGTGGTGGAGGATTTGGCGGTGGTGGTGGACTAGGAGGCGGTGCTGGCGGTGGTGCTGGGGGAGGTGCTGGTCTTGGTGGGGGTTCTGGATTGGGTGGTGGTGGAGGAGGAGGGTTCGGTGGTGGAGGTGGAGCTGGCGGTGGATTAGGAGGTGGATCTGGATTTGGTGGAGGAGCCGGTGCCGGTTTTGGAGGTGGGTCTGGGTTAGGTGGTGGCGCTGGGCTCGGTAGTGGCGGTGGACTTGGCGGGGGACTCGGCGGTCTCGGCGGTTTAGGCGGTTTAGGCGGTGGTTTGGGTGGTGGATCCGGTGGAGGTTTGGGTGGTGGAATTCCTTGAGTGCATGCATGCATACACATAAATGTATAATTACATTATGCATGGATTTGTTGTGAGTTAATTGTTGCTTTTTTTTTGTCTAATTTGTTTTCATATTATTTTAATGTTGGAAAACCATAAATAAACCATGGTTTTATGTTGTAATAAAACAAATAAAATAATGTATTAATTAATATTGATATTTGTCGCTATAACAATTTCAATTTTATTTTTTTAGGGCAAATTGCATGAAAAAATAACGTACTGTCACTTGATTCCTATTTTGGGTAATGTACTGTAAGAACTTTTATTTTGGTACCTAAGATGTAAAATTTTAAACATTAGTACTCGGTTAACTGGTTGAAGCATTAACCGGTTTTCATGATAATGTGGCGAGTGATGTAGTATCCAACTTGGTATTATTTGCTGACGTGGTTAATGACATTGATTTATTTAAATCTAAAATTATTTTTTTAATCTAAAATTAGTGTTCAACCGGTTACCCGGATATTTAAATATTTAAAACTTTAAATCTTAGATACCAAAATGAAAGATTTGAATGTACGCTACCGAAAATACGAATCAAATTAAAATACGTTACTTTTCCATGCAATTTGCCCTTTTTTATGATCTGTCTCAAACACTGCAAAACTAATTATTACGAATTTAAATCGTAATAATCATTTTTACGACATAATTACACACTCGTGCGTAACTGTTCTAAATCAGTGGCTACCGACAAGGTTTACATCAGAAATGGTATCGTTAACTAGACCAGAGGGACCTGTCATGATCAACTAGAATTGGGCATGATTAATATTTTATGAAGGAGGACCCGGCTCCAAGGTCAGATTCAGGGAGGTGTCGGTCGGACATTGTGCAACCACTAAAATTTTCCAACACTGTATTTTTTTACGGTTCTTATGGGTACCATCATTTTGTTTCGTTATATATTACAGTACAATTACAAAAACAACTTTTTGGATCGCCTCTACCTAGCTGCAACTAGACTGTAACAAAACAAACCAAACCAAACCGATTAGCCCAACCAGAATAGAAATTTGCTCTACGTCAAGCTTTTTTGGACTGGTTAAGAAAATGATTTACATTTATAATCAAATAAAAATATATTATCAAAAAAAAAAAACTAAAAGGGTACCCGCACAATGTAACGAGATACATCTCGATTTTGATTTTCAGTTTTATTTTGTCTCAGTCGATGTTATAATACAGGTTTTATATGGTTTTGAAAAAATGATAATGTTTTTATTTTTGAATAAAATATAAATACGAAGATATCATAAAAATTTGAAAAAAAATATATATTGGTATTAGTACCAAACTAACAACTTAAAATTTCTTTTTTTGTGTAATTTCTTTAATTCATTTTTTTATTTTTGGTTTAATAATATTTTTTTTCTAAAGATAATAATTAAGTACTTTGTTAGAACTCAATGGATTCGAACCTCCGTGGCCACAAAGGGATTTTTATTTCTCCTTAGATTCGAACATGAGACATGCAGACACTTTTGACCTTTGGAGGCCAAGCTCAAACCAATCGGACACCACCCTTGTAGTTATTCTACTCATAATCTTTCAACAATAGATTTTGTATTGTGTTGAAGATATAGCTCGAAGTTGAATGTCTAACCATGACAAGAGGAAATTTTTCTCTATATTTGGTATTCCGCTTTCTGCAACGCGCCAGTGTGATTAAAAAACGCAACACATTTTGTATGTACATCAAGACACCTCACATGCTCATCTTTATTCGGTTTCATTATAAATAAAAGTATATTGCATTTCTTTAGTTGTTGACTAACGAATTGTGTTTCATGTTAATTTGGTTACATATTCTCTCACAAAAACAAATTATCACCGCACAAAGCGCGGTGTCACGGACTGTTTTTATAACCAAACCAAACTTGTTATATTTGGTATTTTATCAATATAGTTTATAAGTAGAGTAAATTACAATTTTCGTCTGTGGTTTATGCATGGATTAATCTGTCTACATAGAGGTTGTTTAGTTGGTTTTTCATTAAGTATTATATGAATAAGGTTGTCTGCATAAATTATTCTGTCTGTATAGATTGGAAAAAAATTTGTTTGGAAGGATTAACATGTCTGTATAGATCCGAATGAACGTGTTTTTTAGTTGGGAAGGGCAAGTTTAGAAAAAACTTAAACTTTCTGCATAAAGCTTCACCGTGAGAGCTTAATGAATAAGTCATTCTAAATCATTAAGCAGACGTTAGATAGAATGGCCAAATAGAGAAAAATCACGTGCATAGGCACGTGATAACGTAAAATTACCCCTATACCCCCACACCCAATTTCCAAAGGTAACCTAAACCCCAAAAACATTATCCATAGCCAGCCAAATTCTCCACCTAAGTCATCATCATATCATATGGTATGTGTGGTTAAACTGGAATTTGAAAAAATGAAATCCATCATCCACCACCACCACCACCACCACCAGCCGCCGCAGCCGCCACCACTCTCCACCCTATCAAAGTTGAACCATACCCAACACCTCAACCCTCACAGACTCCATTACTTCTCTAGACATCCACCTTTAAGGATCAAGGCCATGGCTATCACCTCTTCTCATCTGGTGGTTCTTGGTGTCAATCCGCCCCCTGCCACCACCGGAGACTTATCAGTTTTGATTCCCACAAGGTTTTCCTCAAATACCCTTCTTCAATTCTTCTTATATGTTCTCTAACTACACCAAATTGGGCACATTGCTTCATGATGATTCACTCTTTTGCTTATACAGAACTTTGTCCCAAATTCAACACCACAAGTTTGGTGCATTCCATTCCAAGATTCCATTTAGCTTATAAAACTTAAATGGGATAATCACTAAACTAAGCCAAATCCGGTGGGTCCCACTGCAAAGTGGCCAATTCTTTTTGACATTTGCACAAAATAGTCAACCCAGTTAGCTAAAGGTATGTTTGTTAGCAGCTTAATGTGACTCATAGCTTATTCGATCAGCTACATGAATGTTTAATAGTGGCTTAATGATATTGAAAATGGCTTATTCAGTAAGCTTGGGGGGGAGGGAGGGAGGGGTGTCTTTATGCAGAAAGCTAAGTTTTTTCAAAACATGTCCCTCCCAATTAAAAAACATGCTCCATCCATTTATTAAGAAAAACCTCCGAAACAAAAATATTCTCAATCTGTACAGACAAATTAATCCATACAAACAGTTTTTATCCATACTGGATTTGATGGAAAACCAACTAAAGTGGATTTGCAAGCTCCCTTTTTTTGCGAGATGGTACCAGAGATGCACAAGGCCCAGGCTTTTTCAAGCGAGGCACAGGCCTTCCAAGTCCGGCCTAGACTTTTTTAAGGTCGGGCCAGGCTTTGGGAATGAAGAGGGTCCGATCGGGCTCCTCCATGCTTTTTCTAGGTCGGGATTTTTCGATCCGGGTCTTCCCCCAAAATTTTCGCCTCACGGGCTCCGAGGCCTGGCCTGGACCAAGTTGCAGGCTCACTAGGGCCGGGCTTTTTCAGGCCGGACCTAGTCCATAATTCGAGCATGAGCTTTTCCCTGAGTCCCTAGTCCCCACTATGAAATCCACTCCAAACAACTTCAGTAAGCTTTCAATCTTGTAGTAGTTTTAAGCCTAGAAACATCACAAACGACTAGCTAGCAAAATAAGAAGCAACTAGCAAAACAGGCCACTTTGTGAAGCATTAGAAGTACATCTTTTCGTATTATATTAGTCAAGATTCGTACCAAAAACCTAAAAAAGTGGAACCCTCGAAGCCCACTTCGCCAACCAGGTGGCTATTTTGTGCAAATGTCGAAAACGTTGGCTATTTTGCAACAAGGCCCCTCCGAATTCAGCTAGTTTAGTAATTATCCCACCTTAAATCCTTCTAAAGAGCTTCAAAGATCTTTTTGTATTAAAACACTCAAGATCGTACCGAAAACCTAAAAAAGTGGAACCCGCGAAGCCCATTTCGCTAACCAGGTGGCTATTTTGTGCAAATGTCGAAAAAGTTGGCTATTTTGCAACAGGACCCCTCCGAATTCAGCTAGTTTAGTAATTATCCAAACTTAAATTCAATAAATTCTAACATTCTAAAGAGCGTCAAAAATATCTTATAATTGTACCTGATTCACAGTGCAGCATTCCTGTTTCTTTACTGGATCACCAACTTCGTGGTGCCACGAATCATCATGAAGGATCTCGAATCTGAAGATGCAAGTAAAGATCAAGAACCCAACGAAGTTAGTTTAGAACCAGAAAAGAAAGGATTCCAAGGCACCAAGTGACAAAAAACCACTTGATTTTGATTCATGTAACTGTCTTTTTGATGATGATAATATACACTTATACTTAGTTTGTTTGTATACGAATAACCAAATCTCCCCAAAAAACCAACAAATTAAATTTACCTCGTTATTTCAAGAAAATTTACAATTAAATCTAAAGGTGAAGAAGAAGAAGAATGATTATACATCTATCCAATCGTTCTGGACTGATTTCTCAGCCGAGGATGCACTCCCGGCCTTCGGTGGTTTCTTTGAAAACATCGATGAGAAGGATTGGCGTAATGGGTTCTCGTCTACGTGATTCTTTGGGTCTTTTGGTGGTGTTTTACCGAAGACGAAGCTTAGTCTCCTAAATCGACCTTTTTGTTCACCGCCTGTGGAACCTTCATCGGGCTGTTGCTGTTTTGTGAGCCTTATGAACTCATCGGGGTTCAAAACCATCATCGCCACCGTCTCGTACACCTATCACAAGAAAATAAAAATCATTAATACGCACACATGATAACCGTGAATATTTTAAAAACTGTGAGAACCAGTATAAGCATATACATTTTATGAATGTCAGTGAGTATATGCATCGGTGAATATAGACTTGCATATATAGTAGATATTCAGTCATGAATATACTCATTGACACGATACACAATTCGATTGTGTCAATGCATATATATAGGGGGATCTTCTTTTGAGAATTCTCTAAATCGTGAGATCTTTGCGAACCAATGCATCATGTGCTATTTCATTTGATTTTTTTTCATCTATGGCTAGAACTTAATGTAGTGATTAACATATATTTGTTTCACAATGTGAACATTTTTGGCGTGTTTGTGAAATAAAAAATACACATAAACAAGTATCAGATTGTGAACCGAATAGATTTGGAACAAACATGTTGTGAAACAATATATGTTAATCAATACATTAAATACCATGTTTAGATGGAAAAAAAATATGTGAAACAAAACCTTAAAGGTAGAAGTTGTCACAGATTCCAGAGTTTTCAAATGATAATCTCACAGATTTTGAGGTTCTCAAATGATTAAGCCCATATATACATAAATATATATATATATATATATATATATGTTAAACATTTTTCAAGAAAAGATCATAAAAGAAAAAACTCAACTTATTATCATTCAATATAGATTTTGACGATCAAACTATGTTTTCAACACTTTCAGGAACACAGTAACAAGAAAGATTACAGTCCCCATCACGGAAATAGGCAAATAAGTGATGAAAGAATTGTTATCAATTAGAAGGATTTGTCCTAAAAAGTTTCAAAGCAATACTCCATAACTTCTAAATTTACATGGAACCATTTTGGAAGTTAATGATAGCCAGAGCTCACTTATTTCACTCTCTATGTACATCGGACGGGTTGTCACAAACTCTCCCACTTAACATTCTTACATTCTCGCCTGGCCTACCCAACATCCTCCTATATTGGCAAGGTGGAATTCAACTAAGATGTTATAAACACTCCCAAGGGACTCGGCCATCATCCATATGGCACAAGGATCGACTCTGATATCATTTTGTGACACCCCAAGCCCAAAGCAATAGGCCAACCCAGTAACGTCTAATTTCTAAATCATATAAAACCGTCGTGGAAATTATTGGCAGCCCGCAACTTAAGCTTATAAGGAGCTATCAAATTTTCATCCATTTAGGTGCGTTTGGTATCCAAACATGACAGAACAGGACAGAACAAAACATTTGTTCGGCGTCTGGTGAGACAGAATTAGATAGAACAAAACAGTCTAAACAGATAAAATGACCAATTTACCTCTAATGCATTGTTTATATCTTTATATATTTTGATTAATTTATTAAATTATAATAAAATAAATATTTTTATAACAAGATATATCATTAGGAAGTTTTTGTCAAGACGGTTAAAAATGACACTAAAACAAAAAAATTATGTAGTTTCTAATTTTTATTTCATACCTTTTCTATATTATTTTTTTATTACTAATATTTAATAAATTATGTAATAAATCAACCAAAATATAGAAAACTGTATAAAAATAATATTTTGAAGACAATAAGTGAAAGTTTAAAAAGCATAAAATACAATAAATAAAATTCAAAGAACGAATAAAATGTAAAGAGGGAAGCGTGAATTAGGTTTTATTTTGATGTTATATTGGTAAAATATACGTTTGTTCCACCTTATTACATGGGGTGGGGGTGGAACACGCCTGTTTTTCCACTTTGTTCCAAATAAAAAACCTGTCAAGCGTGGAACGGTGATCCTTGTTATGTTTTGTCTTGTCCAGTGTACCAAACGCACACTTGGAAAACAAAACCCCATATGTTATGTTCCTTTTAGTTCCTAACATGTCAAAAGAGGTTGCACGATTCATACGACAGAAGTAGATATCTAAACCACAGGTTAGTTGTATAGGATACCTGACATATATCATTGACTTTCTCAAACCAACTTTTGCCTTGACAAGTGGCAACAATGTAGTCTTTGCACTCAAGGAACATCTTGTACAAATATTCGTTCGTTGATGTTCTGATCTCAGCAACCGCAAATCCTGAACATAGCTGAAAATTGAACAATTTATATCATTCAACACATCAAATGAAGCCAGAAATGTTCATCTTACAGCAAGAAGATAGGAGATCATCGATGAGAAAAGGTAAAATATATAGAGCCATGACTTACAAGAGAAATGTATAGTTGTTCAAAGAAACTAGAAGGCAAGAAATCTTCTAAGCCATGCAGAATGCCTTCCCTAAAGACACAAAGAAACCATACACCTTTTATTAGATAATGTCAAGAGAGTGATCATGATCTGATGATGGAAAAGAACTTATCCCACTTACACAGACAAATCTTCATCATATAATGGAGACTGTTTAACAGCTGGTACCGGTTTTGCAGTTTCCCAGATCTCTCTCCACAAATTACCTGAACACCAACACAAAAACCCGTTGCTGAATCAAGCTTCTGTTCGTATAAAACTAAACAGAATGTATGCAAGGCATTGGTGATTGCACAGAGAAAGGAAGTGATTAATGTCATGAAAGGTAAACAAAATGCATAAGGTGAACATATTAAAATATTTTGAAGTGAAGTGCCAGAAAAGGTTGAAGCTTCTGCTTCTACATTGATTGAGCAGAGACTTTAAAGCACAATTTCATGTAACATGCTAAAAAAAATTAACAGTAGAAGTCCTAGCAGTCAAGACAGCTTCATCCTACGCAAGGCAAAATTTATGCAGGGATAATCCAGACATTAACCCTGAAACCCGTTACTGAATGCATCATACAAACAGCCAGGGTCATAATCTATGTATAAGGTGTGACGGAGTGCCATGAAATCTCCATCCACCGGCCAATTACTGGTTATCATACTAAATTACTGATCTAAGTTGAAGAAGTTGATTACTTTGAAGATACTCCCAAGGTCTTGAAACTATATTTCATGCTTTGCACCATACACCTCCAGTAAAGCAATGACAAATCAGTTTGCATGTTGTTGTTGAGATTTGAGAATGGTTGTAGTATTTGTCAATCTTGTCATTTGTATTATGCTCTTATTATTACTTTGTTCAAGGTCGCTTGTTGGTGTTTCTATTCTTGGAGGAGTGATTGGTCATTTGTTGATATTTCAAGGGTAGAAGGATTGTGTCTTACATTTGAATAAAGTTGGAGGGTACTGGAGCACTATTAGCGAAAGCTCAAGGGGTACCTAGTATCAACTATAAATAATAGTTTAATTGATATTTTTTTAGACGAACCAGTTGTATTTTGACATTTTTCTCCATATATTTCTCTCTTTAGTTCTTGAGTGGTGTTAGGGTTTGTACATTCACAACACTTTGTTATGGTTCTTCAGTAATAAACATTAGATGATCCACAAAGAAAACTATGTACCGAAGATGATTGAATGGCAGGAATATATACCTTCTTTCTGCATACGCATACTTAAGCGTCCTCTAGAAGACGAATTATCACCATCAACAGATTCTTTGCTTTCATCATCTGTCGCTGGCTCCATCCAATCGGGGGGTGAGTGCCATCTAACAAAATCTTCTAATATGCACCCAGGATTTGCAGCCTAAGTCACAATGATTAAATGCACCACAGGGTTAGCTAGAAGATGACATTTATTTTTATACAAGGCACGCGGCCCTCTAAAGATAATATTTGCCGCTTTGTAGCCTATAATTCACCTTGAAAGCCTGCATGTCTGATAGTAGTTGAGAGCACCCTGCTCCAACACTGAGTACATAGTAAAAGACAACTTGTTTAGAATGCCATAACACGGGTTCGTTCATTTCGAATTAAAAAAGAAGAAAGAAACATGGGTGCATGTGACTCAAGATCAATATAGATAATTAGATGTTAAAAGCAACATACTTTGGCTAGTTGGCATCTATAAAGACACAAGCAAATCTAGTTTGTTAAACATGAGTAGATAAGAAGACAATATGCTGGCACTTGTCAGTTTTCACGGACTGAATGAAATAATAGCAGGAAAGAATGCTCACGCAAAAACAATCAGAAAAAAAGAAAAGAAAGCTAGCAGAGAACCAGGAACGCATATAAATAAAGCAAAAAAAAAAGATGCCTAATTCATCAATTTCACGTAATATAGTCTAGTCTAACAAGTTCATATGCACAACCGTATGTTATTTCCATCTTCCCTTTTATAGTCTTAACAAGTACCAAGGAGCTTCAACAAGAGAGAGAGTCCATTTATTGATATGTTATCTTTAATGATCATAATCATGTCGGCAAAACTACAGAACAGTCCTCTTTCTCCATAAACCAAACCTAAGCAAACGAGCCTAGTATAACCCACCCGGAAGTGAGGGGTCATTTTGTTTGTTGGGGGGGAGGATTGTAAGCGGACCTGACTTGTACCCTGAAGTGTAGAGTGGCTGATTCCGTGGAGTCCAAGGGCTTGTGCAAAGTGTATGAGAAGTAATAATAAACTTAAGAAAAAAGAAGAACTTGAAAACTAGAAAGTTGAGTTTTGAAAAATGGATTAGAAGTAAGCAACAACATTGAAACATACAAATAGAGCAAGAGCAATAAAACATAACTTAGTAAAACATCGAGCTGCCTAAGATTCTTATTTCTCATTCTTAGGTCCCAGACTTTTTGTAACAACAAAACACTTCCTAAAAAGCAATGCCACTTGTTCAAATAACCCAAGATGAGTCTAACTAAATACATCTGTTTAAACATGGAACTATGAGCATTTAGTCCACTGACCTCCCTGTACGTAGTATAAATTCCTCTGTTTCCTTGACAAGATCTTCTGTGAGCAAAGGCTCTTCCTGTAATCCAGCAAATGAAAATACTCCCATAAGAAAAGGAAGCACCTCGACAATGCCAAATTATATTGAGCATTGATATTGATCAAACCTGCATAACCGGGGCATACACAGGTTCACCAGTTTCCAGCAGTGTTAAATTCTCACATTGCTTGGCAGCTCCCAATCGAAGCACAAGCTGTCCAGAGCTAACTCTAGCATACATGAGAGAGCTTTCTGAAGCAGTTTCTCCATTAATACTGGCTTGTTTTAGGACAGAATCTAGTGATTCCGTGGCAACAGCACGGCGGTGTTTCCTAGAAATACAGCAATTGATAACCTGCAACTGCTGATACAACAGGCAGCAATTTAAATCTGGAATTTCATCAGCAGGGATGCCAGGAATATGTTGTCCTTCACACCATAGTCTTCTCAACTGCACACCATAAGTGATGTTACTAGCAAAATAATAACAGACATTGGGTGAAAAATAGAAAAAATAGCATACTCCAGCTAGCTCAAGTAAGGGCATGAGCAAGGCTAGCAAGCCGGTAGGGAAGTTTTCATACTTCAGTATCACAATGGAATGCCTTGTTGAAGGATTTATAGAATGAAATACAAAAATGGAATTACACATCAAGAAGGCCTTAGAAAAGGAGGTAGAATCATAAAAATCAAACGAAACCAAACCAAACCGAACAGGCCCAGCAGATCCCACTCAGAAGTAGGGTCTGCGAAGAATAAGATGTAGGTAGACCTCTACCCAACAGGGTAGAGTAACTGTTTCCTTGACGACCCCTGGCTTGTGCAAGAGTGAGAAAAAACAGGTGGAAGGAATAATGACCAACATATAGTGGAAGAAGCATGAAAGAGTAACGAGTAGGGAAGGAAGGCAGAACACAGACGGAGCAAGGAATGCCAAACAACACACCTCCAGCCTAAAATGCCAGCTCTCTGTGACTCTACCCCCATGGCTCCCTTAAGTCCCACCACACTAGCTACCATCCCAAAACCTAGTCTGCTACCCCAGAATCATACAAAAGGCTAAATCACAACCTCCGCGGCTTCTGGTAAACAGGCAAGGTTTTAGAACGTACTTTTTCTATGAGAAGCTAGGGGATACTGGTGTCTCTTTGATTTTACTTTTAGTTCCAAGTATAAGGTAAAAATTGGAGCAACTCACTTACTTCTGCAACAACCCTGGACCAAAATGATGCCATTTTCCTCAGAGTTTTCAAACATCCAATTGCTTCAGCAAGCTCTACAACAAAGCTGTCAGGAGGAGCAGCATGAAGGTCCTTGGGCAAAGATGTAATTGTTGCATTTGTCTCCAACATACGGCTAGTTTTCCTACCAGAACGATGTCCTTCTGCGAATATCTTGCAAGAAATCGAAAGACCATCAAGGGGCAATGCAAGAAAATTCAGCCAATATATTTCTTTTTAGCAACCAACATTCACCAAAACAAAGAATCTACCTGCACCAAGCAGTGAACCAAACTCCACATCAATCTTATCTTCTTTATCCCTCAGTACTAACGACTTCATCACGGAGAAGTTCAAACCAGCTTTCTCCCTAACAGGTGAAGAATCTCTTGATGACATGAGAAGATCTTTCATCGACCTCACCATTCTGGTGGAACTACAATAGGGTTTTCTCAAACTTAATAACTTGATCAGTGAAACTGTCTCATCCAAAATCAGAGACAATAATATGATATATGTGCTATGATTTACTTCACATTTTTAAGAATACAGCAAGACGCCGAGTACATGATAAAAATAGGAAGACGCTGAAAAGATTATATTTTCATTTACAATCTCATGTACACAATGATCACAAAAATCAGCTGGAAATTTGACAAAAAAATAACAAGAAGCACTTACTCAACGCCAATAGCCAATTGCCTAAGCACAGCAGCTGAAGGTATGATATCAATATTAGACTCGTCTGAACCAAATAAACCGCAATCTGGTTCCTAGAAGATTGAACATCACTTTTCAGTTGATGACATGAAAAATAAAGTTCTTTCAATATTTCTTAGAAGTCACCCACAGCAGGTTCAGGGATCAATCTCAATATCCATTTTATGGGTTTCTTACGCTATCGCTTGTACTTTCTGCTAATGGATGCAAAATTCACAGAGAGAGTCATGCAACCATTCACTAACTCTTCATCTTTCCGGTGCATATGCTTAAAACCATTCACTAACTAAAAAAGGTTCAGCAACTCTACATTTTGCAGTGAAATCATCAAGATTCACATGACTCCATCTAGAGCCTTTCTCCATCTACAGCCTTTCCCAATCTAAGTTTCACTTTCAGCAGAGATTCTTGATTACTTGAATACTAGAATACAAATACCCGCAACAATATCTAAAGAAAATCAATGTTCATGTGAATTCTTTTTGTTACCTTAGGCATAGGACTCCCACTTGGTAGGAACATATTTTCATCAAATATTGGAAAAGACATTGTCGTATCATCAGTCTTATCAGCTTCTTGAACTCCTTTTTTTCCAAACCTTATGTTCTTTAATCTCTCCTGCCAATCTTGCTTTGTCTTAATTGGCTCAGGCCTCCACTTTGCATTCTTTTCCTGTAGAAATACCAAAGTCAAATGCACCTAGATTCAACACAAGTCGACTATAAACAGCCAAGAACTAAACCAAAACGTGATAAGTGTTCACTTGCAAACTAGGCCCCCATACTTCTGTTATTATTAAATCTTCATTTCGTAATAATCACATTTGCTTACTGTTATTGAACTGAAACATCTGTAAATTCCTTGTGAACAAATATGAATTTTCAAAGGAAAACCAGAAACAGTAAAAAAAGGGGGAAAAGATCTCGAGGAAGGAACAAGACAAAGTTGGAAATCCAATTCCTTTTGATTATTTTCTTGTCTTCATCGATCATTCTCCTAATCACTAAAGTAAACATCATGATTCTACATACGAAACATTGGAATCCGAAAAGGATACGATATGGAATGGATTTTGTACGTAATATATAAATCAACTCACCTTTGTAACGATCACATCGCTAGGAGAATCGTTTTTGTCAGAAACCGAGGATTGTTTAGCGGACTCTTCTTCAGTATCAAAGATACAAGATATTCAGTCAAGTCAAGATCCAAAGAATTAATAAACCCCAAAGAAAAACTCAAACTACTAAAAATAGCACTTCGATTCTCGATTGTAACACGAATCTTAAGTTGAAATCAGATGAAATATAAACAGAGAGAGAAAAGAAAAACCTAGATCGGTGGAAGAATCGGATTTTTTAATGTCTGTGAAGACTTTCTCAGCTTTTGCAGCGGCGGAATGGAAGGCGGTCCTTGCTTTAGATACAAAACCAGTGGAAGACGCCGCCATTTTCTGCACTGTTGCGGATTTGGCTACGAATTTGAGGGCATGTTTGGAGGGAAATCGAGTTTTTCACCAATGGATTGACGAAGAAATCAGAAACACACACACACACACACACGCTTTCTCTCTCTTTCTCTTTCTGTAACAATTGCATGTGTGTGTGTATATATATATATATATATATATATATATATATATATATTTGTGTATGTATAGATTGAAGAACCAGTCGGAGAGTGCGCGTCTCGTATTTCATTGCTATTATCAATTCGGATTTTCCAATAATTGTTATTTGTTAATAATATATTTGTTGTAAATCTTAACCAAATATATTTTTTGTTGTAAATCTTAACCAAATATATTTGTTCAACTGGTGATTTGCCACGATCCAGTGGAAAACCCGGTTGACAGTGGGAAACCCGGTTGACGGATGCCGAGTCCGACAAATAATAAGTTCCAACTACGGCAAATTACAACCAAAATTATAATAGCGGTAAGTCGGTTCGATTCCACAGAGACTCGGTTTCAACTTATTATAGCCAAACTAATCAAGTACGAGTTGACTGAATAAAAGTAAATACGAAGGGGGGGGGGGGTTTGGATTTAATTAATTAAGCTAAGCATATAATTAAAATCAACTTAAAGCAAATAAATAAAAACCCAACATTAGTTACTTTTGATTAAGAAGGTGGTACTAATCATCGATTCCAATAACGTAAACGTAATGAATAAAACCAAGTTGATTATAGTCGTTAATAAGCTCTAACGACCTATGTTTTTCCTTAAGAAACACCGGTTAAAACAAGCTCTTTAGCCGGATCTTAATCGCAATTAAGACGTTGAATAAGCTCTCAAGTCTAAAAATGTGCAATTAGCTTTATAGGRYTAGAAAAACATCAACTCAAAGCCATAAGCTCATAAGCTCGGCTTAATGAGGCTTTGGATGCAAGATTTCAAAAWTYTAATTYGGAAACCTCAACGAAACCAAATAGATTTAAATGTTACTTTATCAAAATGTAAAKACGATTACGTATCTCAACTTTTGAATAACACTATTTCATAAGAACATCAAGAAATTGGCCAGATTACTCAATACTCAAAATGAAATTGACATTAAAATGGAAATCAAACATATAATTTCATCCCAAACGATTACAATGGAGTCTCAAAGTAACCACAATCAAAATCTAAGCAACTAATGTTGGAAAGAAAAGGGTTTAGCCACACATGGCTAAACCTAGATTACCAATTGCAATAATTAAGCAATAATTAAGGAAAATACCTAAGAAATTGGATGAAATTGGGTGAAATTGGGTGAGATGTTCTTCCCCAAAATCATTTCTCCCTTTTGCTCCTTCTCGGCTGCTCGATTCTGCTGTCCTCTTCGATCGATTGCCTCCCTCGCCTATTGACAGCCCCTTTCTATCGACTCTTCTCCAATCGAACCCTCTCTGCCCACGTCTTCCGTCTCGCTGCCCACGTCTTGCTGCTGTTTTCTCCCGCTCCCGATCTCTTGCTCTCCACGTTTGCCTCGTCTCTCTCTCTCGATTGATTTCTCCCGCTCGACAAGTCTGATTTTGGGCAGCAGCCCAATTCTTCTTTCTAAACAGCTGTTGGGCCGTTTGATTTTGATGGGCTTTGATTTTGGGCTGCATATAATAAACCAATCCACAATTATAATGGATCTTAAAGTTTATATATATTTAAAACAAACCGACCCAAATCACAAATAATAGATAAGTGTTGTATTATTTTAGAAAAAACTCACTAATTTCCGGGTAATTTGATAATAAAAATATAATAATTTAAGCATTTATCACCGGTTCATCCGACCTAAACGGAGACGGGGATTTCCCGCTAAAACGGGTCCCGGGTCCGGAAACCGGGGACGGGAGATGTTACTCAAACCAAGGTCGGGGATCCCCGGTAGAATCAAACTAGAGAATACTATTTATGGGGTTTGATCGGGTTTTGACCGGGGATTGCAAGAAAAAACAGACCAGGGACGGGATGATAATTCACGTACCCGCCGAGACCGGGGCCGGGGGATGCTACTACAAACCGGGGCCGGGGCCGGGTATTACAAAACCCGCCTCATCCCCGCCCTGTTGCCATGCCTATTCAACCGTGTGATTTCATTGAAGTTTCAATTGTAAAAAAATGTCTCACGTATTTCACCAAAACATGTTGGTTTCACATGATCACAAATCTATATATGTGTGCATATATATGAGTCTATTCAAACAAGAACTGATTAGTTTGTGATAATCGTGATATTCAATCTCTACCACAAATCAATGTATAAATTAGAAAACTAATATTTTTAGTAGTTTGACTTAAAATTATAATTAAAATAGATTTTAGGTATTTTAAATTTTTTATCTCTTATCTCTCTCCTACCTCTGGCCTCCGACGAATACCATGTGATACCCAAAATACACCAAGATACACAATGTGATACCAAAACCACACAAAGTAAACTTTGAGACCAACTGTGATACCAAACTGTGGTACCACTGTGATACCAACTGTGACAGAGATGGGGGAAGGGAAATAGGTAGTGATGGGGTCAAAGGGACAAAGATGGCGCTAGCTGTCGGGAATGCTCACTGGTTGGTGTTTAGTGGTCGATCATCGGAGACGGTGTATTGGTCAGACAGGAGATCAGAGGAGGTCATAGGAGTGGTGGTGGAGGCCGAATTTGGTCCCTATGTGTCCATGTGTGTGTGTATATATACATATATTAAACTAATTAAAGTAAATTGAATAATCGACATAATTTACTTATTTACTCTTTATTTTATTTTAGTAACATTAATTATCTAAAATGATTGGTTTATATTTGATCTCACAGTTACCACAAACTATTTAGTTCTCATTTAATTAGGCTCATATATATATATATATATATATATATATCTATATATATATATATATATCTATCTATATATATACATCCACACACACTAAAAAGGTACTCGCACAATGCAGCAAGATACATCTCGATTTTAGAGTTTCGTTTTTTTTTTGTCTCAGTCGATGTTATAATACGGTTATATGTGTTTTTGAGAAAGCGATAATATTTTTGTTTTTGAATAAAATATAATATGAAGATATCATAAATAATTGGAAAAAAAATGTTGATATTAGTACTAAACTATAAAATTTAAAGTTCTCTTTTTTTTGTATATTTTTAATTGTTTTTTTTATTTTTGCTTTAGTAATATAACTTTTTATAAAGATAATAATTAAGTACTTTGTTAAAAATCAATGATTATTCTAATTATATTTAAGTTTTTTATATTTAAAATGAGATGTTTATCATCTATTTGATTATGTTTATTTGCAATTAGTTACACGAATTCAAAAATAAAACTTTAATAGATTGTACTTACACACATTTACTTGTAATTTTGAATTTTAAGTAATATGAATCGATAAACAGTACTTCATGCATAAAAATTGGTTTTTAAGAGTTTTTGTCAAATGCTTCATAATATAATGTGTATATATATATATATAGGGAAGGGTTCAAACGAGAACCTCTGTGATTTACGAGAACGCAAGAACAACCCAATAACCTCATATTGTGAGTAAAAAATAAAATTAAAAGATTTTTTAAATTAAAATTAAAATTTAAAAAGATTTTTAAAAAAATTAAAATTAAAAGGGTAATAATGGAACATCAAATCTTTTAAACACGATCATTTATTATCATTAGTCTTATCAAATCTTTTAAACGGTTACGAAATAGGTTAGGATT